TCGGCTTCTTGATTGTGATCCTGTTCGTTCGGGATAGCCGGTTCGATGAAAAGGGGAAGAATGATAAGGCTGATGCGAGCAGCACGGATAGCGCGGAGATGACGATTGACAAGGTAGATGTCTGAGGCTCTTGTTCGGGTAATTGGAAATTGTTGGGGAATTGAGCTAAGGCTTATGTATAGCTAGATTGGATAGAGGATAGGAGTTTGTACTTAAGTTCCGGCAGAGATAACAGATTCATTGACTTGACTGTAACAGTAAATGAGACACAGCAAGGTACGCGAAGCGAGTAGCTGTGGTCGGTCGGTTTGTCTTTTCTAAGGCAGAGAGCAACTTAGACTATGTAATCTATCTCAATCGTGAGTTCATGGTCTCTGCGGGTAGATTCACCAGCCACTGTATCCTTTTGTCCCCAAGAGCAAGGCACTATGCGACACCGGCCAGAATTCAGGAAAGGTCACGAGTAAAAAAATGCCCCGTGTTCTCTCATCATACAAAGCCACGTACATTGGTCTTCAAAGGTTCTTCTCGCTGAATTTGTGCGTGTACTGTTTCGACTCCGGCGGCTGATCAATCAGTGCGGCGAATCTATCATTCCGCGTGGCAGAGGGGAAACGGGAAAGTTATTGAATTTTGTCCTCAAACGTGGGCAGTCTGAGCCAATTAGCAGGGTAGAGGCTGATATACCTTTGAGAGACCCCATCCATCGTAGCAATTGGTGATCAACTTTTCTGGTTGACTTGTGATGTCGCCGTCTGTCTTCCGGGTTATATGAGTTGAGTCCGAGCGGGTGATCCCTGGCTTGGCAGATTACACCTAGTATTAGGTAGGGTAAGAGGTCTGGTAGCCGGCATCGGCTGATCAGCTGACCCAATGGTCCGTGGCATCAAGCCCCGCGCTGTCAACTGGTTAGCCTAACCCAATCACGCCTAACCTCGCGTCAGCTGGCAGGTGCAGGCGGCTGCAGCATTCCAGGGAGCGATTCCCCTCTCCCTACTTTTGGTCTCTGATCTAACCATCACGGAGAGCGAGCAGAATGGTTGATGACGACCGCAGCAAGGCTACCCCGGGCTCGCACTCGTGGGTACGCAAGTTTACGCTGTCGTGTTCCCGTTGTAGGGCCGCGAAGCTAAAATGCGACCGCAAAGAACCCTGTGTTAGTGCCCACGTCATCCACGCGCGAGCGATCGACTCGCCCTTGACGCTGGAGGCTTACAATCCTCTTACAGGTGGAATGTGTCAAGCGTGATCTTGGCCATCTTTGTACCAAGGATGAGCGACACCCGAGGGCTAAACGGTCCAAAACCGTGCACAGAGGCAAGACAGCGTCCAAGCAGTGAGACACCGTTGTTGAACCAAGGTTTATGAAAACAATGCTTACGTCTGCAGCGGTCTGCCAGCGAATGGAGATAGTGAATTGGAAGCCGAAGAGACAGCTCAACTCTTGGAGCATTTCGTCGAGGGAATTCCCTGTTCGAGTTCTGTGGCGGCAACACCGATGTCGGTCGCCCCGGATTTTCTGAATCGGTACTGGTCCGCTACAGACCCTAAGCGACACGGCGAGAAGCTCGCCTTGATCCGAGAGATGGTCGACGTACTGCCGGAGTGGGAGGTAATCCACGTGCTTTTTGAGGTATTCGTCACTCGCTGCCAGGGCCCTTTGGGGAATGTGGTGCACACTCCGACATTTATGGCGCAAGCGGCACTGTTCGGCAACTGCTTCAATCTCGCTTCAGCAGACGAACGGGCTTCCGCGATAGCAAGTGCAATCACGATGGAGACACTGGGCTGTTACCTCTTGGCGGTAGGTGGAGTCTACCTGACACAAAAGCCCCATGCTCACATTATTGTTTGCTTGTCAGCTTGTGCTCGGTCTTGCTTTTCATCCTACGCCCTCGATATTGGGATGGAATCCTACGCCGTCGGCCTTGCGCGTGGAAGAGTTACGATCGTCCCGTTTGCGCGTGAAGACATGGAGGACTCTAGGCTTGCGCTGTCTCCAGGACGGAGTGTCTCTCTTCTGTGGCTCAATCGCTGGGTTACAGGCTGCAGTCATGCTCCTACTCGACAGCCAAGAGGACTCATTGGCGCTGGACGCGGTTCTGGTCACTGCGATCTCAGGAGCTCGCAGACTTGGTCTACACCGGCTGAGGGATATTAAGTTGGACGCGTCTGCATTATGTTCAGCACCACTCGAAAATCACACGACAGGACCGGCAGAACCGCCACATATTCGAACAGAAATAGGTATTCGGATATGGTAGGGCTGGCCGAGAAGAAAGAGCACGAGTCCTTTGCTGACATTCTCGTACAGGTGGGCACTCGTCCAAAGGGACTGGTCTCGCGGACAGGCCCTCGGCTACTACACCATCCAACCATCACAATTCAACACCCGGATGCCGCTGCACGTCAATGACGATGATCTCTCTTTATCAACGTTACGGTTGAATATCAATGGACTGATTGCAGAGCGGCCTCGATCCGAGTTCACCATGATGTCGTATACTCTCCACGCCCTCGAAATCACCGGCATTGTCCGCGAATCCATCGAGCTATGGGATTCACCAACACGTGAGCCCGACATGACCATTCGATCCACCAGATTGCGCAAACATCTCAACCATCAATATGAAAAGTATGTTGCTGGTCTGCCGGCGTATTTCCGACTGGGAAGCACGGTCGGACTTTCCGCCACCGGGAGTCCAATGGCGGCGATCCCCGTACAACGCTGGATGCTGCATCAGCAACTGTGGAGCTTACTGCTTCGACTGCATCGGCCCAGTATCTCATCGTCGATCGGTCGTACTTTCTGTCAGCTTCTGGCCCAGAATATTATCGGTACCCAGGGTCAGATCCACGCGCGATGCACGGTCTGTGGCTCGCTGTCGACCAGCGAGATGCAGCTTTTCAACGCGGCGGTGGTGTTGATACTGGACTTGATCTTCACGTCCAGGTCAGATGATAATGTGAATAGTGCCAGCGCACAACTGCTAAGCCGACTGATGACTCGCGATAAAATCCGGGAAGCGATGGAATTACTACGAGCTGAGAACGCCAAGAACGGGCCATCGACGCTCCACGATCCGCACAGAGAGTCAGAGGCCGAAGGGCCCGCTCAGCGCTGCGTTGTTGCTTTGGAAGCCTTGATGGAACTTGAGGAAGAAGACAGTTACGATCAAGACGATAGTTCAGCCGCTGGAAGTACCCGCGGAGAACAATTGGCAGGTACAAACCTAAAGAGACTTAGGGTCGCGGGTATTCTGAAAGCCTTGAGCCGAAAAGGCCCTGATCCTGCTAACGCACCCGGGAACGCGCATCCGCAACCCCCATTCGAGCCCTCTTCACCATTCAACCCATTACTATCATTTGCCAATGGTGGTGTCACCGATGGTTTTCCTGATCTAGATATGCTGCCAGTTCTTTCCAATAGTCTTGTCAGCCCAGACGACCTTTGGCAGTGGCAATTTTTGGACTTTCCCCTGCCACCGCTGGATTCTTGCGATCCGTTCCCTAAAGATTTCCCGTTTGGTACACTAGGAGACGATCTCCCTGGTACCCTTGATACGGGCGCTTCGGACACTTCGCCGTTTGCCGACTCTTAGTGTAGTGTAAGCGTTACTCCTGGTACGCGTATGACGCACGCCTCGCGTTTGTCTCCTGGATAGTTCATCTACTCGTTTGGGTGACGCCAAAGAGTTCGCCCAGAATCCGCTCGAGCGCCCATGCCTACCTTGCAGTCATGTTCATCCATGTCGGGAGTAATATGATATGAGGGTCTATAGACTATAATTCATTCCGCGAGACTTTGGCTAAGACATAACTCTGTCGTCTCTTCTAGTCAAGCGTCTTCACAGCTGCCTCGTGCATAAGCCATTCCAGATCTATAACTCGTAACCAATCTTCGCGAAACCGTCGATTGTTTTGCTTATCACATAAGCCCTAGACATCAAGGGGAAAATACATACGACCACAGGGTGTGGAAAACAGGGCTTCCCGTCCGCTCAGCCGTACTTAAGCCACACGCCGGGAGGTTAGTAGTTGGGTGGGTGACCACCAGCGAATCCCTTCTGTTGTATGTTTTTATGGTCTTTTCAAATCTTAGCTATATCAAGTTTGTTTTTCAGCATCGTTTCTCCACTCTCGTGGCTCTCGTCCTCCCAGACACAGTCGGCCCCTCATCTCAAGTGATGCCGCCACATGACCCGATGCAACCCAACACCCTTGTTCATGTATTAGAAATCGTACCTGGTTAGCTAGACCAACCGAACCAACCATCAAGATCAAGGAACCTCCCCCTGTGCGTACATCGGTCAAGCGAGGGCTCTGGCTTTTGACGAAGGTTTCGCTCATGTCGGGAAGCATTTTAGTCGACTGGTAGCTTCCGAAAGATAGAGTGGACAAAGGTCCAATTGGCTTCCCAGATTGTAAATTTCTAGTGCAACAATAGTAGAGCTTGTCGGTAGGTTATATCTCCCCCGGCTAACTGACACGGAGATTAGGGCTGTCGGCTTTGCAGGCGGAGGAAAGGGAAGGGGGGGCGGGTCTTCGGCCCCTGTGAGGACGAGGTGGTAGGTCTGGTGAGCCTGAGTGAATGGGGTTGTTTGGGTTTGTGTGGGCATGTTGAGGTGGTATTTGGTCGTAGTGCTTTGTGTCTTGATGTGTGTTTGAGCTTCTGAGGTTTGTTGCGGAGAATGTGGACGAAGCTATGTATACGTCCGAATGAGAGGTTCCGGTGCGGGAAAGAACGAATCGGAAAGTACCCCATCCCGATTCTTACACACAACTCACGCTGTGCAAGAAATCCAATAAAGTATGTAGTGACTCCTTCAGCTGCCCCATCACCTCCGTCCATTCTAGCTATCTCGTGTGCAGAGATCATGGCTTCCCCGATTGAAGTGGCGCGCCTCGCTGCCGCCGCCCACGACGGCCGCATGGCATGGCCAACGTCCGATTCCAGCAAGCGCAACTAGCGGCCGCCCTGCAAGACAGTCTCCGCGCTGATGGTGGACCAAACAGGTCAGCTGGCAGCTGCCCCCGGCGTCCGCGCGAGGCCCGACCTGCCCTGCGCCGCTCTCTTCGATCGGACCGCTGATGTGGACTACGCCGCCGACAGATCTGGGCTGCGTGTGCGGCCTACGGCGGTGGGTCACCGCATCGCCCGGGCATTGTCGCGGTCAACGTATGGGCGAAGCAGAAGTTCGTGGAAGCACTTCTGCGACATTTCCTGGAGCCAGCAAATCAATAGCCATGCCACCTTAGCCAACCACATTCCCGCACCCATGCTACGTGACTCTCGCCCCTCTTCCTTGTCCATAGCTCCGAACAATCAATGGCTGACGCAATAGCAGTCCGACCCGCACTCGCCACGGACCAGAGAGTGATCCCTGTCGAGCGTCGCTATACAACGTCGATGTTCTCGCGCCCGCGGCCGGAGATGATCACCACGATCCAGGCAGGGAAGAGTGGGCTGAAGAAAGGGCACGTCCTTGGAGCGCTGAGCAAGGAGGTAGTCAAGCCACTGCTCACTTGCATTGGATTCAATGGAATGGATTTCGATGGGCTTATATACCCCCTCCTCCCTCCTCCTTCTGTCTTCTTCCTTCTTCTTCCCAAGTCTTCCACTTTTTCTCCATCCGCCTTCTCCATCCGCCTTCTCCATCCATCCTCTCCATCATCACTCTCACCATTACTCTCATCCCCCTCCTTCGAACCAAGACCTCCTGACCCGATGGTCAAAGACTTCTAGCAAGCCTCACAATGTCTGTAAAACATAAAACGTTTCTTCTAGCATGTTATCAGAGTCTGATCCGGTTTGTCCACTCCCACCCCCTTCATTCAAGAACATCTTTCTCGATCAAACATCTGGATAATTCCCTCTCTGACTACTGCTTTAGATGAAGTCCGATCGAGCGCTGTCGAACATCATCATGCGCAAGGTCGACATCGTGGTCACTACACCACTCAACCTGCCTAAGATGTTGCGAGGTAGCTCTACCCTAAATTCCTCATCATTGTGCTTTACACCCCGGGGTCGAGAGGCATGGAACAACTCGGCCTTTGAGAGGCTCATCAACAAAGGCTACAACGTCTGCAGCCTAAACCTCCATTATCGCAGTCAGAAAGCAATGTACGACGCGACTTCCAAGATATTCTACGACGGCAAAGTGGAGAGTCATGGCCTCCCGCGCGGTTTGGGCGGGCATCTCACGGCTTCTCGAATCACCCGCACCGGTGGGATGACATCGCTGCGTGATGGCAGACGGGTCCGGTTCTCGACACATGAAACAACTCGGCCTTTGGGAGACTGATCGAACAAGCCCACGAGGCCTGCACACTGAACATCCAATAACAAAGCCAGAAAGTAATCCACGAGGCGACGTCGAAGATATTCTACGAGCAGAGAGTTGAGAGCTTCGGTCTCCAGCGGAAATGAGGCGGCAATTCATGGCCTCTCGAATCACCGCCCAAGTGGAATGACATCGCTGTGTGATGTATCCAGCTATGGAAATGCCTTTGGCGCCATGGCATCGGGAATCACCTTATCAGAACCGAGAAGTACACATACCACCCTCAATGGACAGGCTCGGAAGACAGAGACAGAGACAATCCAGACCACTACCACCTAGAACGATGTACCGAGGACAGAACGTTCGTGCTGTTCCTAACGTCGCTTCTGACGTCGCTCCGAACGTCTCTCCTGCTGTTCCTGATGTCGCCCCCGATGTCGCTCCTCCGGACACTGTCAACGTCGCTCCTATCGGTCCTGACATCGCTCCTGATGCTGTCGGTCCGAGCGTGTACGTCACTGAAAACGTTTGAGACGCGAACGGGCCAACACAAGAGGAAATACGCCAGCTATACGCCAGACTGGATGAGATAAACTGGGCTCGAGCCGCTATACGCGACATACTCGACCATTACCTATAACTGCTCGTCTACGCCTTTTGTTACTCGTACGTTCGTACGTTCGCTCTACACATCTCCTTCGAACTGCTGATTTCCGTTCATTCCGTTCGTTCGGTTACCCCTCTTTCACTCCAGCACTTCCTTTACCATACGTTCTGCCCAGTGAGGCGTGGAATAATTCGGCCTTTGAAAGACTGATCAGAAAAGACTGTCAGACTTCCGCTGTTGATATGCGGTAGCAGCAAGAGCACATGTACGGGCCCAGATGCAAACAAGGGAGCAGTTCAGAGCTTCCCTCTCCGCGCACATGGGGAGGCAACATTGCTGTCTCACCCATCACCGTCCGCTTCAATTAAAATTGCTGGCTTATCAAGCAAGATATCGGGTTCCTAGATATCGACGCGCAGGCGCAGCGAGACGCGTCCTCGTTATGGTTCAGCCTGACGGAGGCGCGTCTCGCCGTAGACCTGGCAATGACGCTCTCGGCCAGACGGATTAATGTTCTAATCCTGACGCCGTATAATGCCCAGGTCGCCAAAATTAAAGCCGATCTCGCCAATCGCTACCACAACGCGACAAGAAAGCCGCGCATACTTACGGTTGACTCATCACAGGGTACCGAGGCAGAGTGTGTGATTGTTTCTCTGTCAAGGAACGTTAACACACCAGGATTCCTAAAGTCCAAGCGGCGCTTCAATGTAATGACGTCGAGGGCGAGTCAATCGGTGTTTTACCTGGGTAAGTGGTCGTATATTCAAAGCGCCACTCTACAGCAATCGTCACCAACGCTGTTCGGTATGCTTGATCACTACCCGGCGCATGTCCCACGCTTTGTGATCGACCCCTCCTAGTCGCCTTGCTTGTTGTTAGAAATGTGCCGTCATCTGATCTGGACAATCGATCTTTTGCGGCTGTTGGCCATGCATCTCTTTCTTGGGAATTCTGTTAGATCTGGTCGCCTCTTAGGATGGGGTTATTGCGTTAGCAGTCGCAGCCACGACGCTCTATTTCAATCTTTCGATGGACAAGTTAATGGTAATCGAACTACAGTCGCAGTTTCCAGCAGATTACACCTGGATAGATGATAGTCATTGTCTATCCCTTGACGCCTAAGGACCCTAACGTATAACAGATGGTACACGATCGACAATGTTCTTTAGCATAGCTACAGACATCGCACTGGCAGACTTTGATTATGACATTTTGGCTATGCAAATTTGTATACGATCGGGATCGCCGCGGAAGGGTGAAGTTGCCGCTACGAGTATGTCACTTCCGTCGTCGGCACGATATTGACGTGAATCCAATGCTGCCATCGAACAACCCTGCTGCCAGAGAGCCAGCAAGAAGCGGAGAACGGTCTACTTCGCGACAGCCCCATGGATAGGATGCTTATCTTCGAGTTGGGAAAGTGCCTTAGCTTCACCTGCGGTGCCCGATCATTACACCAACTGATGCAGACGTCACACCAAACGGGTTTCATGCAATGACGCTATTGGAGTCCACCTTGCGTGTCGGCTCTGCTCCATGCTCGTTGACGGATAGCCTGACTCATTGGACCCTCTAGTTGCTTCTTCAGCCCGATCTCCCGGCCGAGGCTAGCACGTCAGTCTTTCAGGAGCTACTCGGCCCCCTGTCAGCCTGTGCAGACGAGGAGGGAGATATTTACCGGCACCACGAACGGGGCGCACGGCACCTCAGCCACATGCAGTTTAGTGTGATCCAGCAGTATCTGCGATTGCACCCCCAGCTCTATCTCCTAGCACTGCTCCTGCGACCCGACAAGAACTACCGGCTGCTTGCCTTCCCGGACCCAGTTCGCGGGGCCCAGGAGGAAGACACATTTATCGGGAGGACACACTGCCCCGCGGGACTGTGCGATTCTGGATCCCGATGGAGAAGCAGTCGGGGAGGGTCTGGTCGGTCTTAGAGCCTGAGCTAAAGATACATAGCAAGGCGGCTGGGCTAGAGTTCACACGTGTCTATCCGGTGGTTTCCGTCCGGTGGATAGAATCCTATGCAATCATGGCGCTTTCCCGGGTTGAATGGCGGTCATACAGGCAACCGCAGGAAGCTTCCTCCGCGGCAGGGTGGAGCAAAAGACAGCCTTTTTCGAATTTTCTTAAACTCGCTCTTCATTCTATCCCACAGTCTATCCCACAGTCGCATCGACTCTCTTGAAAACATTTCGTATGTGAGGGTGGACAGAAGTCCATTCCTAGCAAGCTGATCCACCTTCATCTGAAAACCCATCCACCCCTCAACATGATAGAATACAAGAAAGGCTTATTTGATGAGCTTCTGGACCCTCTTAGGTAAGGCATGATAGCCGAGCCGAGTCAAATGCTGTAGATCAGCATAGACCCGCCGACCATGATTTGTCTATGGTTCGCAGACCTAAGAATCTAGAGGTCATTCTTCAGAGAGCTCGGGAAGGCGATCCCATTCTGAGAACATGGTTTGGTAGTGAGGTCTGTCTATCTGCTCTGAAGACATGTGAGCACATTTTCCGTCGCTTTTCATCATGAGTCTGATACTAAGTGCTACAAGGGTATGGTCGCAATCGTGGAAACGAACCTTCCCCAATAAGACCCGCTACCAAGAGGACGACAGATGAGGATGAGACAACTTCATCGAAAAGATTGAGTCCTTGCAGTTTGTTCTAACGGCACACTAGTACAAAGAGAACGCAATACACCGGAGATGCAGTTCCAAGACCAAGCATGGTCAATGATCCATTCCTTAAATTTTTTAAAGTCTGCGAGCCAGCTGGTAGGCATTCATATGCTTCGTCTTCTGGCTACTGCTAATTGTCACTTTGCATAGGCCCTTGTACACGACAAGCATCGATGTCTCATCAGCCATAGCCACCTACTCGTCGATTCCGTGCATATATACCCCTGTAGATTAGGTCGCGATCGGGATTCTTCGCGTGAAAGGTATTTCCGGGACGTGCTAGAGTGCTTTTGGTCCTGAGAGAGAATCGCAAAATGGCACGAAGATGTACTAGGACGTTGCGGCACTGAGCATTGTGCCAATCGTCTTACCCTCAGAGTATCCGTTCACTGTATGTGGGATACGGCGATGTTTGCCCTCAAGCCGCTAGATGTCAATCAAGATAAAACCGCTCTCGGGGTGCAACTATTCCTGTTGGGCAAATGTCAATCTACCAGAAATGCGTCCTTCGAGCGCCCTGATATCCCTGAAGCCTTCCAGACATTGGGAATCCCAAGTTGGAATGATGCCAAGCGGACATAGAGACAATTGACCTGTGGCGAAATTTTACCCTTCCGCCCGGATGATCCAACAGGATCACTCACTTCTCTCGTTTGATTTGCTAGAGATGCAATGGCTTTTACATCGGGTCCTCGCGCTGAGTGGAGCGGCGGACTTTGCAACATGGGATGAGAACGACGCCGATCCTGATTCCGAAAACAAATTTGATCTCCCAATTTCCGATGAGGAACTGGGCAGCTTCGAACTCGTGCCGAGCATCTCCGGAAAAGGGAAAAGCCAATATACTCTCGAGATGCCATTTCGAGCAAAGCATGCCTGGTATGCGGTCACTTCTTTGTGACTCTCACCCATGAATTGGAAATGAACCTGTGGAGGGCCTTGCCTCCCATTAGATAGTTCGTCAGATAGCTGAATCCATCATCTTCACGCTCTCATCAGAACCAATCTCCTGATTAGACTGCGTGAACCACAAAGGCGGCTTCATGGGCCAAGTGAGCGATCCATCCGACGCTCCGAGCCGACCCTCTGAGTCCCAACGCAGGGTCAGTGATAGCGTACCTCAACTCAACCAAGTCCATTCTCATAGATATTTGTGCAGCGGCCCATAAAAGAGAAGACGTGCATCGAAGAGATGCTGGATCCTCGCTATCTGTCCGTAACGGTGGACCAGATCATGAGCCAAGCGCTCAACCTTTCAGATGAGCTCCAGACACGCGAAATGTTCAGGCAGGCACTCCTATCTTGCCAGTGCCCCACGGGTCTTCGGAAGCTGAGATTGGCAGTCAACGATCTGTGCAACAACATGGATGAGACTATCCCAATGCTGGTGGGAGATGAGCAGGGAATTGGTGACGAGTCCTGAGATATTTGTTACAAGAGGCGGGCTTGACTGGAGAAAGGGGTCTTTTAGAAAGATATGGTTCCTCAATGCGGATGATCTGACCATCTTAGTTGAGCAGAATTTTGGCTTGAACATCGTGTTTTGTGGGTCCTTAACTGCACACCCTACTTTGTACCTTTCTATGCCTCCGTGTTTGTAATTTTCTAACCACATTTCAGAATCCCGAGGGCTTCTTCTGATGACGAAGCAGCCTGGAAATGACTCGCCGCCCGCGTCCTCGACACGTCTGTCCACCATATTAGAACCGGAGTTATGACACGGTATCAAGGGCTGAGAGTTACCAGATCTAAACCAGCTCGTTGGTCGTATCGGCTTCCCGAAGGATCTGCCGCTCTAATGGCGAATGCCAGAAAGCATTCCCGAAGGGAGACTTCAGTGGCGGAGGAGCGAGCTTTCGAGCTAATTGGGGGTGACATGGCGAACGTGCTGTCACTGACCCGCTTAACAAACCACGTCCTCTCGTAGATGGTGCGGAAGCCATATCGGTCATGGTGGTCGTCCATGTACCTGGCCAGCTGGCCTATATTGAGCCGCACAAAGCACGTTTAGCATGCGGAAACGTCATTGGGGAGAACGCCACACCACCATGCGTCAGACTCACCGAGCTTATCAGCGATAAACTGCTTCCAGGTTTGCTTCTTCCCGGGCTCGAATTTCCAAAGTGTCTTGGCCTCACCCACGCCCCGAGTGGCGTGAGTCTTGGTGTCCGCAATCACCAGGTCGGGAACAAGCTTACCGCCCGCCGTCTGCTCGCCTACCTTTCGCTTGGTCTCTGCTTTGGCGTCTCTCTTCGTCTGCTTCTTGAACTCTACGAGCAGCCTGTTGATCCCGTACTGAGAGTCCCCAAAGCGGACCCCAAGCTTGAGGAGGTCGGCCACTTCGCCGACCGGGTGCAGGGCATTCTGGACGAGGCGGCCCTGCAACCCCAACTCATTCGCTACTGCAAAGACCTCTCGGGGAACCACCGGGACGAAGGGCTCGAATTTGCCGCAGTGCGGGGCGAGAAGAGCCTTGACTTCTTTGGCGAAGTCCGGCCAGTCCTCGACCTGTTCAGGGAGCAAAGTGAACTTCGACGAGCCGGGTCGCAGGGTCCGGAACCCTTCATCGCTCAAAAGATCGGCCATGGGCGACCAGAGGCGCTCGCGTTGCCCCTTGGGCAGCAACTGTTGAGACATTGATAATGGATCTTCGTGATCCCGTTGTGGGTGTGTTCGAGGGTATGTACGATTTCCTTAATGGAATCGGGGTAGAGCTTGTGGAGAAACTGTGTGCGAAATGCTCACAGGATGTCGAGAATGCGAGTATTACCGCGTTCAAGATGGATCAAATATCATGGTTTTCTCCATTCAATCGACCTCTAAATATGCAGCTAACTACAGCTTGTAGTGAATGATTCTGACAATGGGAAAATGCACGAGGCCTAGAGACGAGGAAGTGCCGCGAACGATACATAGTTTATCCTAGTTATCTCTCTGCATTATAAAAGCCCGCACGTCGCTTTCCTCGGTGGCTTGGATATTGATTCTCTTGGCCTTCCCACAGCAGCAGCCCCTGTTGTCCAGACAGAGGTTCCTGGGCGATTCGATTACTGGACACGCCGTCCGGGAAAGCCTCAGTCTGCATCTCTGTTCAATGTAGACCAATATGTCTACGTTGATAATAGCTACGGAGAGCCCAACCCACTCCAGGGTTCAAGAATCACAAATGGATCGGGTTTGGTCTGTAGACCTAGAGATCTTTTGGTCAAGACACCCGTGGTTGCCTCCTGCAGTCGGGGGATCACATTTTACCCATTCTGCCCTCGCTACTGATCATCCTCATCTTTTGACCGTTATTGTTGATAGCCTCGTTGAATTTCTCTTGTATAAGTAGGCCCGGTACTTCCAAGGTGCTCTTGAGCGAATAGCCATCAGCGTGGCTGGCAAGGGGGGATGTACGACGGGGCCAGACCATAACGAGCCCCTGCAAACCACAGCCCCTTGGGGCTCTGGAAATCCTACGCAGGTAGTTTTCACCAAATCAAAGTCTCAGAAGGTCATCAGAGTACAATGCATTGGGCGGACTGAAGGTGTTCCATGACGGGAGGAGTGGATTGAATTACTCCTACACAAGCTTGACCCGCGGGTTACCCCCGCAGCTAAGTCGTTGTAAGGAGCCTTCAACTTGGAACGCCGCCGCCCATCCCCAATCAGGAGGGCCCGGAGCGTATGAGTGACTTAGTGCTTGGTAAGTGATGCGCGGAACCTTGCTTGGGCGCTTGTTGAGAAATTCTTACATAAGCCCCAGGCAACTCGGCGAGGGTTTCCACGGTTCGGTCATGGATGCGACAGTATACAGTGAATAGGCTTCGGTGTGGTCATTCCGATAGCATCGTGACTCATGCCGGGCTGGTCCCAGCATCTGTCAATCAAGAAAGAGAATAGCTATCCCAATCCATAACAGTTTTCCTGCTTGAAGAGAGCCATTCACCCAACACTTGAGCCGATACAGAGACGTGGAGCCTACTACATAGGCAAAGCGACCGCCTCTTTCTGCAATCTCTCCTGTCTGCCTATATCGTCTATCACAGCCACCCCACCCCAACTATCAAACTGTCTTCCTTCATCCGACACCTTATACCTCGCCATCTTTATCCTCAAGGCCAAGCAAGTCAAGAACCTTGCTGCTCTAGTGCAATATTGACCACACGAAGAATCCACGCCTCGAACCTCTCTCTCACGCCCCCAAACATGTGGAACTTCAACCTCGAGGGACACACTATTACGCTGTCCGGAAGGAAGCTTCGAATTGAGGAACAGCTGACGGAGGTGCTAGACCTTGAACTGGGCGAGCGGAGCGTTCTCCTCAAGGCCCGAAACCTCGAGAAGAATGTTGTTTCCCTCATTCGAATGCGCTACCAGCTGGACCCGAGGGGCTTCGAACTCATCTCCGAGGACGACAAGAAGAAGGTCCTGCACATTGCCGAGCAGGAGTTCCTCTACGAGTGCGAAGCCATCCAGCTACTTGGGGACGCAGGGCTGGGACCCAAGTATGCCGACCACCTGATATGCTACCAACCGGACTGGATGCCCTTCCCGGGGGGGTATGGCCACTTCCTGGTGATGACGGTGCCCCCGGGCGACAACCTCGACGAGATCAGCGACGAGCTTACCAATCGTCAACTGGACAGCATCCGGACGCAGTTGGCGCGTATTCTCGAGTGAGTTCGAGCTCTCTCTCTTTCTCTCCCTCCCCCCTTTGTTTATTCTTAAGTTCTTTTGTTCCCACGACGAGAAAATCCACTCTCGTCTTCAGAATAGTGGCTAATACATTCCCGGTGGGCGCATACAGGCTACTGCGGAAGAACAGTCACAAGCTGGTTGACCAACACCCCAGCTATCTGAACTACGACGTTCGCACCAACAAGCTCTACCTGGTTGATCTCACCCACCTTCGCGAGACCGACCCGACCGCCGCCACCTCCTTCCCGATCGACGAGGAGAGTCCGTACGTCGAAGCGTTCAATCTCTGGCGCGCGCCGTATCGTAAGCCTGAGACGGGTTCGAGGGGAGGAGGGAGCCAAGCGCCACGATCGGATACGTCGGCCGGCAACCGGAAGGCCCCCTCGTCCGATCAGCTCACCAAGAAGGAAAATCGGCCCCCGTGGAGACATTGATTTCGCAAACGGTATTTTCGGGAACCTTGAACGTCTGACGGATGAGACGGCGTTTGGGACTTGGGAGTTTTACACTCGCCGTCGCTTTTCCTTTTCTTTTCTTTCTTTCTTCTTTTTTTTTTCTCTCTCTTTTTTTTCTTCCCGCACCACATAGCTACGGCACGTCTTCGCCCTAGGTAGTGGACTGCGCGCAAATCAAGGGCCTGGCGACCTGATGCCGATACATAGGTAGTAATAACCTCTCTCTTGCTTGGAAATGAAATTCGTGTGTTTGCTGTCTACCGCACATCACCTTCCCAGAACGATTCTACAAAACGTAGGCACGGTTCATCCCGACAACGGATGCTGTGATACATTAAAGCCTCCTTTTTCGGTACCTCATAGGGTTCAGAATCCCAAAGGCCCTTCTGTGCAGGCCCGTAGCAACCAGTGTGCCAGAACATAACATAGTAGGCGATGGTGGGCCCGATCTATGCATACCGTACTACTTGCTATGGTCGACGACCGCAGCTCGCTCGAGCCAACCTGAGTCGACGATGACTCGTCATACCCGACCGACCGGAAAAGCCATCCCATTCATCTCTCGCTCTCTCTCCTCCGCCGGCGACCTTCAGGTGCTGGTCCAGCTGGGAGCACACGGCAGATCAATCCCGAGAAAGGGAATCTCTGAGGGGGAAGGAAAACCTGACTGATCTATGCCCATCGTATATCGCCCATTTAACTACACAGAAACTGGCTTACTAACCTATTGCTAGGCCCTCTGCTCATCCACGCCCAGAGCAACCGGACCATGGGCTCCTTCGTACTCACATCTACAGTATACATATACCCTACCAATCACCTTCTTCAGCACTGATCAACGGAATCCTTTTCTCCCAGCCTTCTGTATAAAATGCTTTCCAGAAACACGCCCCCGTTCACTCTGTGTCAGCTGGCAACCTTGGGTACCGAAATATGACTCTCTGTGTTTGCGCAGTCCGCTGTCAAACCGTGTGGCGTGGGTTCCTCTTGCACGGACTTTACTGTAACTACTTGGGCTGACGGCCGAAGTGACGGTGCTGATGGCTACTGTGCCGGTTTCTATGAAGAACCTACCCCTGCCCCGAACCGGTGGATGGTGGATAGGGTCCGGCCCGCTCCGCTCCGCTCGCACGCCACCGATATGAGTAGAGCATGTTGAAGGGCAAAGGAGGCGAATCACGTGGGTGCGACTTGGATCTCGCACGCTGTACTCTTTGGAAATCGCCAAAACGGTATTTTCACTACATTTGGATCTCTATGTCTCGACGTGGTTGAGGTGTTAACTGGTGGGTTGCCACACAGTCCTAGGCCTCAACTTTGGTCCGAGGATGTTTTGGTATACAGGTCAACGACTGCCGTCTCTATTGATTCGAATGTAGAAAGTTATATACAGTGATGAGAACATGCGCGGACGTTGCCTGCGTCAAGACACTGGAAAGGTTTCCAGCGACGGGTGGTAGATGTAACCCCCTCTGCCCTACCACCTCACTGCCCCCTTTGTGCAGATGTACGTTCCGCATTTAGCAGTAAGCGTCGACACATCGACGCTCCAAGTCCAGAAGCTCATCGAGATCCGCCTTGACCTGGTTGGCGCAGGTCGGAGCATATGTCTGTAGGCCGCCGGCTAATAGAGCCTGGAGCAAGAAAGAGAACGTTAATCTCGGGGTCGTGCATTCACACACAGAAACGCAGGCAAGGAGACTCGCGACTGCCGAGGGACTGACCACAGATCCTGGAGAAGAGAGGCAGGCCACGTACTGTGTCACACTTGTGGAGTTCCCGCAATACATGCGCGATCTTCGCCTTTTCCCGCGGCGAGGTAACCCTACTCGCTTTCGACAGGATGGCTTCTACAAAACCTGCGGTCTGCTTGATGCACTACCCCCCTCACAAGGCGACGTCAATTAGCCACCCACAACATGACAAAACATGACCCTGACTTCTGGATGCGACCGCGGGTGTGGGAACTTACGCTAGAGATAGCCCGGCTCAAGGATCTTGGTCTCTGCACACAATGCACACCGCTCGGGGGAAAGACTGTGCGGACTGTTCTCCAAGTTCGTTCCATTGACTCCTTTCCGTAAGTAGGCAGCTCGTACATGATAACTACTTACCTGGTAGAGCCGACTCATCAATTCGTACAATTCCATTGGTAGTATGCTCCTTAATTGATTCTCCGTTTATAACCAGATCTGAGTCGTATCGGACCCGAGCATAGAGGCTTAGTTGCTGAGCTTTGAGGTAGAGGTAGCTTTAGGTTCAATATCTGCGTTGGGACCAGTGAAAGGGAAAGATAGACAGTTTTGCAAAAATTTCATTTTACATAGCGAGCTTGTTCTATATCGACAGACGATGCTGGATTTTCCATTGTATGATCGAGGCCGTACGCTTGATTTGGTAGCAACGCCTGCCTTATGTGATGTCTTTGGGCGCCTGTCCTTAACTCACCGAGATGCGAGGATGTTCGTCTCAATCGGGGCGTGAAAAAACCACCCCTGAAAGCAAATGCCACACATTCCAAAAGCACAATTCTGACACTTAATGGCATCAGCAGCATCAGTGCGGTTCCCGGGCTGCAGCATACACCAACCAGGTGCCAGGCGACAGCAGCCATGCCGAGTCATGGTATGTCACAAAGGTGTCGTCGTCATCTCGGGTCATCCTTGCTTCGCTCAATGAGCGGTGAAGGGGTGCCTTCCAGATAGATACTTATTTCTACTGGAGGCACCCCGGTGGCTTCTTCAAAGAAAGGCCCTATGTACCTTTCAGCCACTGATTTCACTTTTCCGACGCCACCGATGTAGACATCAACATGTCGGTCATAATTTTATTCATCCTTGCCGTATGCCTCGCCGTTATCTCATATACCGTTGCAACGCTCCACAACCTCCCGGCGCCCGACTTCCCAGCCATCCCACCATGGCAGACGCTTTATGACATCGCCACCGGACTGACACGAGCGAGCTCATACGACCGACGGATTCGCCCAGTGGTCGAAAGGCATGGCGCCGTGAACTTGTGGCATGGGGGCCGCTGGGTCGTGGTGGTGACGCGCCCGGAGCTGGTTGCCCAAGTCTTCCGCAACGACGGGATCTTCGCCAAAGGCGGAAACATCAAGAAGCTCCCCCACAACACCTTCGCTCGCATCTTCGGCGTCAACATCATCGACTCCCATGGCGCCCTTCACGACTCTTTCACGGAAATCATCAAGCCGGGGCTACAGCGCCGATTCGATCTCAACCCCGTGCGACAAAGCTCGCAACAGCTAGCGCAAATCCTGCTGCGGCAGCAAGCGCACCGCCCAGGGTCGGGGGTAGAAGTCCAACACCCGACTCTGGACTGGGCTATCGACGTCGTCGCCGACAGTTTCTTGGATTTGACTCCGGGCCAGATCGCGGAATCTCGTGCGGGATTACACGAGGCAATGCATCGGTTCGTTACCGGTGTCTCAACGAAGCTGCAGACGTTGGTGTACGGCGTTGTTCCCGGTCTGGAGCGTTGGCCTTGGCTGATGCCGTCGGGCGACTATGGCATCCGCATTGTGGACACGCTGGAGGCCCGGATCCAGGATCTTGCAGCGATTAATTCCAAGGATGCCATTCTCGCGAAGAATCAACAAGAAACACCCATCGAGTCCAATGACGATAAGCTGATCCATCGAATGCGACACGCATTGAGAAACGGAGGTATCTCCGAGTACCACTTCCGCTGCAACCTCAACCAGCTCTTCATCGCCGCGGTAGAGAACATCGACATCGTGCTCAATTCCGCCATGTGGGAGCTGGGGAAGAATCCCCCCCTCCAGGAGCGGCTGCGGGAAGAGGTCATCACGATGCTTTTACAGGGGAGGCATGGGTACGGTGAAAGCGGCCTCGATGCGCTCCCGCTCCTCACAGCCACCATCTACGAGGTCCTCCAGCTGTACCCGCCGCTTATCAACCTGATCAACCGATACACGACGGAACCAGTCTGCCTCGGTACCGAGAGTAGAAGCCCAATTCCCGCAGGGACCTGGGTCGGCTGGCACGCGTACGGCACGCACACTGACCCAAGTGTGTGGGGGCCCTCGGCTCGAGACTTCGACCCCGACCGTTGGGGACGCGACCCGGTCGCGATCAACAACATGTTTCGGTCGATGCAGGTCAAGGGGAAGTATCTCCCGTTCAAGACCCATGTCCGACGGTGTTTGGCAAGTGACTTCGCGATCACCATGCTCAAAGTCGCCCTCTGTGAGTTGCTTCTTGCCGTGGAATGGGAGCGAGATCCCGAGTATAAGTTCGAGTTGGTAGGGCTGCGCTATTCCGCTTTGGGTGCCTCCTTACCCCTGTTCAAGTTATGGATACTAAGCGTTCTGTCTCCTCTAAGGTGTGCTCATGGGCCCTCGCAACTGCAGGTTCTTCTTCAGGAAAGAGGGACAAAGTATCAAGTGTCTAGAAACTGGGAAAAGTGCAGGACATAGGCCCTGCAAATTCGCTTTTTACCTTAGACCATAGACTTCACGCGCCCACTGTTTTCGCCCGAGTGGGTTACTGTCCCCGATGTGTTGGAAACCGATAGATGATGATGGAAAATACTTTACGCCTCATCCAGTCCGTTCCAGATTGTACTGTCGCTCAGTACTTCGCCGAGCTGGATGAGACAGCAAGCAATTACTTTATCAACTCCTCAAGGCGAATATTCCGACCACCTTATGTATGTTCTCTAAGACCGGCTGCTCACTCGCACTTCCTGATGCATTGTTCCATCAATATCACCGGTAATATGTCACACAAGACCTCGATCATCGTCCGCTGTCAAACTGCGTCCGGCCGCGCCAAGCGGAAGTGATTTATATATGCAATACATACCTATAACTGAACCCTTTTTATCACGTCGTCACCCGATTGCATGTATTGTCACTCGATCACAACTCCTAGATCAACATGATATCCACCCGAACAGATGGGTCAGAAAGTCGTCCTGGCACAACCCACCAGGCCTAGCGCAACCGATCATCGAGGACAAATAGCTCAATTCTTTTCTGCGCGGCTGTACTCGGTCTCCTGCTCCGCACACACAAAGCCCACGATCACCCACTCTACCCACAGTAACTCAAAGGTCAGTATTTGCCCACGAGATCTCCGCTTTCGTGCAAAAGGGCGGATTATAGCCTCACCCGCGAAAGAGATCCTAACGTCAGAGTTTGTGTCGGAGTAGCGGAAGAAGACGACAAGGTCCTCTTCCTTCTCGCCCTTGGTGGCTTCGATCATCTCCTGTGGGGACACATATCCTTGATAGAAGTGTCAGCACTCCAAGTCAGCCGCTCTGACACGGAAGAAACAATGTAACTCACCGTTTGCGTCCTTGTCCTGCGTGGTTCGAGCGAAATTCCAGAGTCAGCCAGTCTATATCTCGAACTATCGCTCCTACGCGCACCGGGAGCAGATTTACCGTCTCGAAAAAGGTCTGAAGCCACTCCTGGATGGAAATTCAAGAAGTACACGATGTTCTGGCGAGTACGTCAGTCTTTCCTTTCTGTCTGTGGTCCCCCCCTTTCTTGTATCCGAAAGCCGGAACCAGAGCAAAGGATGGGATCAGGGGGGAAGGGAAGCGTGCTAAGGACTTCTGACATCGGGATTCTTTTTCTCCAGGACTTCCTTGTAGAACGGGCGCAAGGGCTTCTCTGCCCTCTTCTCGTTCTCGGAATTAATGCGCTGGGCCTGGAGCTCAGCCTGGAGTTGTCGAATCTGGCTCTGTGCATCTTGGTACATTTGAAGCGATGCTGGGGCCATGATTTCAATCTTGCGGGGATGACCTTTCCTTCCTTTTCTTGCTCTGAAGCACCGGGAAAATAGAGGGGTTTCGGATGGTATGCTAAACACATTGGCAGAGTGACAGATTCGACTACGGAACCTCAAACTAAAAGATTTAGGAGCGCAGTGGAATTTATGTACGCGTGGTTGTTCTCAGTATGTTGAGATCATCCCCTGGGGGACGTGACATGTGACACTGCAGCTTCTCCTCAGGCTTTGTCAAGCTTCTGGTCTGCATACCTGTCAGCACGAGCAACGACCACCCCGCCATCTTCCTTCTATCGCCGTCGATAGTCTAACGGGAACCTTGACGCAAATGCTAAATTGCCCATAGTCAAATGGAGAACAGGCCAAGACGGCATTCTGTGTATGGTCATGTTTCATGGAAACTGGAAAGTCTTCGACATCACAGTCAAGTCTGCGCGTCATCAGGCGAGGGGTCATGCCGGTTTCCCCTTCCCGTCAGGATGCCCCGCGCCGCTGCATGAGCTCCAGCTCCTTCATGCTGGAGGAGGATCACCGCCAATGGGCCTGATACCCGTCTGCAAGGCTCAGCCTGGGTGCTACGTCCCGTTTGACAGCCGCGTGAGCGCGATCAATCTTGGTTATGAAAGGGCATTCTTCCAGCGGAAATGATCTCTGTCCCGCGTCCCGCTTAAGTTATCGCGGCTGAGTTAATGCCCCCCCGTCGGAAAATGTACCAGGGCCAATTAAATCGTCTCTGGTGGATGGGCGGGGCATGCTTGCAGCCCTATGAAGGAGATCGGCATTTGCTGTACAACAATGTACAACATTGATGCCATCACCTCTTAACACCGCCCATCTACAGGGTGTGATCCATGCATACCTACTCATATGGTGCACGCTCGCTCATTCACTCGGATGGTCAGGCAGCCCTATTCCATGTCGGCAATTAGAGCGACCTACACAGGAGTACCATAAACCTGCGACTGGGTTTGAGACCAGGGGATCGAAGCATCAAGCATGCCATTCAGCCGAATCCAATTTATCTCGTCAGGAACAACATCAAAAAACAGATACAGAAAAACACACTCCAATCTCCAGTCCCCAAATATTACAACTATGGACGAAGAATGCAACAGCTGGGATGCTCATTGTTTGATACGACAGGTAAGGGTGGCCTGCCCACTGGCACTGACCGTCTCGTGCCAGTCGTCCGTCAAACCACCGTTCACACCACAAAGCTCGTTCACATTCTTGCGGCTGTAGGTCACAGCTTTCCCACTCGCCGGCGGGTCCACCTCGGCCTTGCAGGTCAAAATTCCGTTGCCTGTTGTGATGGCAGGTCTTCGTCAGTTTTATCTACGCTTGACAGGAGGGGGTGGTGGGATGGGTGTCCCATACCGGAGCTAGTAATGGTGACACGGGCTTTGTCCGCGACTTCCACCCCGCCATTACCGTTGAAGAGACCGCATCCCACACCATCAATATGGATGGCCTGGTCCGCCACTGCCATGCTGGCGAGGGCCAATGCGGTGAGGCAAGTGGTGAGGTGCATGATGAGGATCTTGGTGATGACAAATGAGATTGTGTTTGAGATCTGTCAGTGATGGGTTTGAGCATGAAAAGATCGGAGAGCGAAGTCCTCGACAAGATGTCCCTTTTTATAGGGATCGGGGACTGTTACCCAAGCAGGCATCCAAACCATGTGAACGATCTACTCGTGTTCTGGCCAGTTTTCGGAGTCCTGTGATTGCCTCCTGTCCTTTAGTACTGATGGGGTCCATTACGATCGTCAAGGGTCGGTCAATCGTCGCATACTGGGAAATCGACCCTCTAGACCATCGAAGAGGAACCATTCTTCATGCTTGTTCTCGTACCAAGTGGGTGGTCAACCAAGTGATGAATTTGTATTGTGGGATCCCACCAGATTAGTTGGATCATATCGTAGACAATGAATAGCTGAGCATTGTGCAGTAGATCAACCGCTGCAGGATGACCCACGGATCTATATCCGTTGCCTTAATCTCTGGATACGAGCAAATAGGTTCTGCCGCTGGTTAGCGTTCGGTGGTTCGCATTGAGTCCGTGTAATTACCACTCTGCAGCCGCGGGTGAACCTGGGTTCAACATGAGGAACCGCCGGGTAGGGCTTGGCTGTACGGTCGCGGGAGAAGATAAGGGCGCATTCACAGCGCGGTGTGTGCCACCCTGAGATGATGGGAACCACCGATCATTAATACGGACAGCAAAACTCTCAAAAGAGATACGTCTTCCATTCTAATTCTTTCAGAGGAGGAATAGAATCTGTGCAGCAACATGGGGTTTTACTTGCGTTTTTCTTTGTGAGGACCTAAACTTGGGAAGCAACTATACGAGAGCCTAGACGCAGCCTCCAAAACATAAAATTTATGGTAGATATAAGCTTATTTCTTGACGATTACCAGGGTTGAGATTGGATTATCGGGCCCAACTATAACCTTATGTGGATTTTACAACTACTGTCCCGGCATACTCAACTGCCATGGGAGCCCTCGTATGTTCTTTGAATTATACTATTTTGCAGATGTGCGAACATCGGGTCGTTGCAATTCCAAAGACCGCGTAACAATACCCGAACTATATCATGTTGGACCCCCTGGGTTGATTCGGCCGAACCACAATGCAACTGCGACTGCTGCAAGCTGCCATTCCGTTCTCTCTGTTCTTGATCAAACAGCATATGCTTGGCTGGTTCCTTCAGCCAGCTGGGGAAAGGCTAACCTACCCAATGCATAAAGCTAAATGTTGGTAGAGAATACCTGATCGGTAGGTTTCACCTGAAGAATTCCCCCGCACTGGTTGGGGCCGACTCAGACAGCCCCTCATTGCAGGCCACATCCCGCTGAGCCCTAAAAACGGGTGTCATAAGGCATACAGTCGCGAGCACGCTGAGAAGCAACCAACCTTCTCCCACTTGCTAGGTAGTGATCCTTAACCTTCACTTAGAGAGACATCACAATAGCACACTTGCAAATCTTACAGACACCCCATTCACTGATCCATTACTCAAGCCCTGATTCACCCGGAGCCTTGTCTCTTCCTTCCCTGCGTTATCTTCCGGGCACTTGCCTTCCATTCACCCAGTCCGACTATTCAACCTCCCTCTTCGGGTCTCCCTACCTACATCAAAGCCTTTCTCGGATGGTCCCAAGTCTCTTACTTGAAACCATCAATTCCGCCATACAGAGACTCAATTTCGGTCAAGAAAATGGCTGTTGATTGGTATGTTCTCCTTCTAACCCTCTCTGCATTCTTCTACACAGGTGTTGAGACCAGCTCTTTTCAGAAGACATCCATTCCCTTGTCGAGCTGGGCGACTCGTTCCATCTCGTCCGCTGCGGACTTGCTTCTTCTACACTACGGTTAACAACTCTTCGATCTTTCTGGCCGTACGCTTCGTCTGCGGCTTTAGAGCCACGGTGACCTGAACAGATCTGAACTGTGTCACCGACAAGGGCCTTCATTTGACCGAGAAGGTTTTGGGCGTAGGGCTTGGGCGTGGCGTGGGAATTCTCTTCGTGGGAGCTCTGATTCTGCACACTTTTACGTGTGGCGACTCCGCCACAAACAAAGGTATGTCTACGTTCTAATGGAAAAGCCCTTCTTCTATTATTATCACCGGTCTCTAGTTTACATGTGCAGTCTAACAAGAAGACCTACACAGACGCTCGATCCCTACAAGGGGACTGAAGGATCACGGACTTGAAGAACCCCGATGTTGAAGATCTATTTCGAGCACGCAAGATACTCAATCTTCCCGGGTGGCACTGGGACTTGCTTTGAGATTAGCTTACGCGATAATGTTACTCAAACATCGTTTTAACATTAATTCTACTCGAATAATCATCACCGCCGCCACTGCTACTACCACCACGAGGTATCACCTTCGCCACCATCAGCGGCAACAGCAGCAACAACACTAATACCAATAGCAAGATGAACGGCACGGGAGCCGGCGTCCTCACCTGTGTAAACGATAAAAATCTCCACTCAACGGAGATAGTCCTGGGTGTGGGGTTCGGGTGTGGGATAGGTATGCTCTTGGTGGGAGCTCTCCTGGGGCAGTTGTTCTGGATGTGGCGCACCAGGCACGAGAGAAAGTATGCTATATTCCTCTCCTTGCACTAGATTTATGTAGATGTACATCTGATCAGCGAGGCTTATGCAGAAACTTCTATTCCAACGATGGAATTAAAAAACCTGGATGTTGAGGATCAGTATCGGGCACGTAAGATGCTCAACCTGCCGGGTATAGCCCTAACAAGACCTCCAATCAAAATAGACAATAGCTAATAGTCAGTCTAGTCGAAGCTTTAAATCCATTAGATGAGTCAGCACAAAAACGACTTGATAAGAAGGCCGAGAAGGAGAAAGACTATCTGGAGGCTTGAGAAAATCGCAACAAGACTCAGGGTGAGGTTATCGAAGAACAAGCGGCGTGCGAAAACTCCTAAAAGATGAAATTGAGCATTACAAAAATGTTTAATTCAATCGTGTCCGATCGCCCGACCCGCAGCGTCAATGACTTGCCGGAGCTTTGACCGGGCCAGTACATTGTTAAATAGTTAGTCCTCCTCTGATTATCCTAACAAACGTACAGGTGCTGATGGAATAAATACAGAAGAAGTAATTTGTATACGCACGGTTAAGATATCCACGAAGACAATACGGCGACCTGTTTTTCAGCCTACGAGTTCTCTGAAGTATATGACGCTGCGCTTAACACCAACAGTCCCAGCCGACACATCTCTTATCGGATGTAACTACACTGTTTTCCTCGGTTCGGCTTGTCGACAACGTATTTACAAAGCTACTATGACCCACACGTTTTTACTCTTCCTGTTTAAAATGTTCCATTCTCGAGCCTTGACACAGTATTGGTACTGGGACTTGCTGGGAAATCAGCTTACGGGTCGATGTCTCCATCCCACGGCCCACCACCTCCGCTCCCCACACTGGCAATGAGCGAAATAGAGCCAGAAGACCTCTAGGCCACCAGGAAGATTCTTAGTTTACCTAGTATATAATGCAGATAGATCCAGCAGCCCTAAAGTAGCTAATAAAGTAAATTAGTAGATAAGGATTTTAATATAGTGGATATCGAAGAACATGTCAAACTTTAGAAAGAATATTTAATAGCGATGGAAAATTTCAACACCGCCGTCCACATTTGCCAGCGCCATTGTCAAAACCCAGTGAGAGGTAATCGAAGAGCAGGCGGAATGTATCAAGTTTTTGAAGAACAAAATCGAGCATTACAACAATGCTTTGAATACTTCTACGGCTTTGCCGCCTTGGCAACTATTGCTTTTTGGGGGTGGAGGGGGGGGGGGGGGGGGGTGGGGCAAGAGGCTTTTTTGGGGGTTTCTCTAGGGGCTTCTTTTGGGGGCTGTTGGCCCGGCTGTATTTTGGGTCGTCGTTTTGTATAACTTATCGTGTATAAATTACATAATAACGGCACTTCTGGAGGGTGGAGAAGGGTGGTTGATTCCTCTACGTGAGGCTATCGGAGAACTAGCTGAGGCAGCCGGATGGGCGGTGAGCTGGCACCTCAGGCACCAAGGCCCCAGGACCGTCACATAATGTCAGAGCGTGGATGAGTATTGAATCCAGCTGAGTCTTTCCTGACTGCCATGTACGGTAAAGCGAAGAAGCAATCCGAGGCAAGGATCTTCATTAGAATTTATAGTCCCCAGATATGCGCATTCATCAAGCGGGACACGTAGTCATCGTTTTCGTTATACCAATCGCTCAATTTGAGCTCCGGTAGCATCTTATCATCGTCGATACTATCCGGTGTGATGGTGAAGCCACGGGCCTTGGCACAACATGGACAGTACGAAAGACAATGACCGTAGTAGAGTGTCGGAAGATCAGGGCATCTGAAACTTGGTCAGTATGGCACGCCACTTTCACTTCCATCAATCCCGATCGATCTCTCGACATCTCCGCCGGTGGATAAGTCAAAGGCAGGTCCTTACCTGGATCTCGTACAACAGCCACAATCCCGCGCGCAGCATCCCCCGACCGCCGCGCATTCGCTTCGCTGCCACTCCGACAGGTGCCAGCCTGATCGCTGATGCAGGGACAAGTAGGCCCGCTTAGCCGGCCCGTCCGGGAATTTCGAGAGCTTGTTATGTCGGTGGTGCTCCGCGACCCAGAGCGCTTCAAGACTTCCGTCCAGACACTCCGTTGGAAGCTGTTTGGGTGCGATGTCGGTCGACGACCACCACAGCTTGTGTTCAGCGTTGGCTTCGAGCAGTTTCGATTCGAGTCGCGCGATTTTGGCAGTTCGAGTAGTCCAGCAAGGCTTTTTTTGATGCTTCAGTGCAAGGGCAGCGTCCTTTTCAGTCTGCAGCTGCGCAGCGCGCGCCTGCACCTGGAACAGGATCCGTTGATCGGCGCGGATTAGCTCGTAGATCTTCCGGCCTTGGTCCAGCTTGGGCGCGCATTTGGTATACTGCTTGAAGCGCAGTTTCTGTGCTTCGCGCCATTTTCCTTCTTGCTCGAGCCTGGTCTCGCGGTCGGAGGGGGTCCGCATTATGCCCGCCTTGGTGGCGAGAGAGCGAAGAAGAGGCATGTTTGTAGTTGTTGGGGCTTCGGTTTGTGTCGATCTGTCGAATGGGATTGTTTCGTATGGACTTGCTTGTCTTGTGTGGAGTTACATTCCAGTATCGTTAAAGTCAAGGATAATGTTAAGGCTCTGGTTTGCGGAAGTCTCTGTTATCTGAAGAGCTCACGATGACGGTGTCGGTCGGAATTAGCAGTGCATCACGTTTCCAGAGCATCTTCGCCTGGAGGACCTTCAACCCGAGCTAACGGAAGATTGATTCGCCACACACATGCGTCAGTTCCTCGTGCACCTGTAGGGAGCATGTAGTCGGCGAGTGAAAAGGACGGTAGTCAGCTCGTCCATATGGAAAGAGACACGAGTTCCGCCTAGTTTGACTCCTTCCTATACTTTTCAATCACAAGCGGACTGACTTCTGGCCCAGTTCCCTTACGAGCAAGTTGAGCATACCCTGCCTTGCCGATATTGAGGCGGTCTGTGCCTGCGGGTTAGCCGCCGGCAGGAGCTCTTCAGGCCAGGGGCTATCTCCAATACTTTCTTGACCTACCCATCGACAAGGACCAATATCACAATTGAAAGGATTTTCCATGTGAGTCACAAACTGACGTTCATTACATCTATAAGCAGCTCATAGTTCCAAGATACACGGATCAATGAGGTTGATGTTATGGTAAGTACTGAGATTGCTGCGGCTGCTCGGCGAGCCAGAAATGGATATATATAGCTGCCCTGCTTTTTCTCTATTGAAGTTGTCAGGCGTTGTTGCCACGCACCTGCCTTGCAACCTCTGCATTCAACCATCTTAGATTCTCGCCCTTGTCTCTTTCTCCTCCATCTTAGCCTCAGCGCCTGCTCTCCAGCTCTCACCCCCTCACACCCTCACCTGCTCACTTCTTGTTGACTTCACCCTAGTGACCCCAGACCACATCGGCATGAACTGAGAAGACTATAATGTCTGCGGCATCCATCCGTCTTCGGTACCTATCTCAATCGTGTCCGATCACTCGACCTGCAGCGTCAATGATTTGCCGGAGCTTCGTCCGGGCCAATTTCTTGTTCAATGGTTAGTCCTCCTCTGATTATCCTAATAAACGTACAGGTGCTGATGGACCGAATACAGGATTCATTTATGTACGCTTTGAATCCTCCGGCTCAATCGATTTTCTATGTTCAAGATTATGCAGAAAGACGCTACGGAGATTCGTTTCCCTTCAGCCAAAGAGTTCTTCGGAGTATGTGACGCTATGTTTTACCCCAACAATCCCGGCTGAGTACAGTAGTTTCCTCGGTTCGGTTTGTCGACAACGAACCTACAAATCTATCTAGCACTTATTACACACACTTTCTCACTCTTCTTATTTTAAGCATTCTATTCTCGAGCTTTCTTACAGTATTGGCACTAGTACTTACTGGGAAATCAGCTTACGGGTCAATGTCTCCATCCCACAGCCCCTCACCTCTGCTCCCCCTCCCTCTCATCCTCGCTGATTCCATCATAACATGTATACTTAGGTTCGCTTACCGACCCCGGTCCACGTGACCCAACTGGATGTCTTGCGCCGCCCTATCGCGCGCCTCACTACCTGCGGTCGCACGCGATCTCACCAGGCATACGGAGTACAACAGAGCGGTCTTCGTTTACAATGTCAAGTGGTGCGAGGTCTCATCGAAGCAATTGCTCTCAACATTCTCAACCCTTTCAATATCTCCCTCTCCTCTTCGCACTTCACAACGACTCCATCTGCGCGACGCCTTCTCGTCCTTGGCACCCCACTGTACGGAACTCAGATCCGGTGGCGCCGCCTTATGCCCCACTGGCGCTCCTTCTCAACTATGAACGCGGCGATACATGCTGGAATCAAAGCAACAACGTTGAAAGTAGTGGGGTAAATGTCGAAGCCTGCACCTTCTCTCTTTTGGCGTAATGTCGCTGGACGCGTTGATATAACCAGCCAATGTACCTGGTAGTCTTTGTCTTCTGTAAATAACTGCATATAATGTTATTCAAACATCGCTTTCACACCAATTCTACTCCAACAACCACCTTCACCACCACCACGTAATACCACCACTACCACCACCATGAACAGCACCGGAACCGGCGTCCTTACATGCGTAAGCGACAAAAATCTCCATTCAACAGAGAAGGTGCTAGGTGTTGGACTTGGATGTGGTATAGGGATGCTCCTAATGGGAGGTATCTTTATGCATTTCTTCTGGATGTGGCGCACTAGCCACGAAAGAAAGTATGTCTATATTCTAATAAAAATGTTCTTCTCCTATTATCATTACTATTCTCAGCTTCAACTGTATAGTCTAACAGATATAATCTATATAGACGCTCAATACCGACAATGGCAATGGCCGAAATGGAGCCAGAAGACCTCTGGGCCACAAGGAAGATCCTTGGTTTACCTAGTATGTGATACAGATAGATCCAGCAGCCCTAAAGTAGCTAATAAAGTGAATTAGTTGACAAGGAATTTGACATTGTGGATGTCGAAGAGCGTGTAAAACTTCGCAAGGGATATTTGCTGGCGATGGAAAATCGAAACAAAACGCAAGGAGAGATAATAAAGGAGCAGTCTGAGTTTATAAAGCTTCTGAAGGATGAGCTTGAGCATTTTAAAATGGCTCAAAATACTTCTGCGGCTTCGCCGCCTTAATGAACATCGCTTTTTGGAGGGGAAGAGGCTTTTGGAGGGGGGGGGGGGGTTTGGAAGACTTTTAGTCCGGCTGTTTTTTGAGTCCTTGTTTTTGTATAAATTATAGTGTATAACTTACTCTCTGGTATCCATGTCTATCCCAGTCCTTGCGATGCTCTCGATGTATTGAGTATGATATCTTTATATGGTATGGTAGTACAGCTACTACTAAAGAAGGCAGGGTTGAGGCTGTCCTTTCATCTACAGCTATAAGGATACTCTAGAGGTAGAATAATGCCTTTTCGTGGACTATACATTTTGAATTCTTGGTAATAGTTCGTCTACTTGGAGTGTTTTATCCACAGTTACCTATCTCAAGGTGCTAAGGTACTCCATTAATTCAATCTCCCAGCTCTCCTAAGCCCCCATACTCAAAATGGTCGATTGGAACCGGTGGTCAACAATGGTGACGACTCCTACCTCCTTCCTTCTCTACACCATCTACACAGCTTTTTCCTCAACACCATCGTCTGAGTTAACAAAACCACTTCTCCCGCCCTTCAATTCTTCCTGTTCTTCTTCTCTTTTTCCCCTCTCTACCGAAAGGTGATTTCTTGCTAGTACCAGCTAACACGTCTTACCCTTCGTTTGATCCCCTGCTGCTTATTCCTCTCGATCCCTTACTTTCTCTCGGTTCTTTTTGCCCGACCTTCCCTCCATTCTTTTGCCCGTTTTCGTGAAGAGTCGACCAGATGGCCCGTCTGTGTCCTTCTTGTCCCGCCCTTCCTCCCTCTCCTCGCCCATCCACCGTCGGACTTCGACATCACACTCCTTTGCCTGCCTATCGAGGCGTCCGTTCTTTGCGCGAGATGCAGTCCGCCCCGCTGCAACCTGCTGTGTCCAAGATAAGGGCTTCCATTCGTTCCCTTGTTTCTGAGAAGCCTTCTGTTGTATCCTCCCAGGGTACGTCCGCTCCTTCTTCTGTGCGCCCTCGGGCCACGTCCACTTCTTCTGAGCCAGCTGATGCTCGGACTCGCCTTCGGGAGAGACGAGATGCCTTCGCGGCACGTGTTCAGCTCGCTCGTGACAGAATGGCGGCCGTGAGCCAGCGGGCCACATCCATTCCTTCTCGTGTGTCTCCATCAGGCACGTCCACTCCTTCTTCGGTGCGCCCTCGGGCCCCATCCACTCCTTCTGGGCCAGGTGATGCTCGTACTCATCTTCGGACGAGACGGGATACCGCCGAAGCCAGGGCTCAGCGGGCCGAGGCTCTCTTAGAGGTCACCCTTGCATCAAACGCAGCTCCGTCTGCGGTTCGTAAGGGCAAATCCAAGAAGAGTGTCAGCTTCAATGAGACCACCACAGTCTTTACTCTCAGCCGGTGGATCCTCCCATGGAGAGATCAGTTCCGTAGGCATTGAGGAATAGGTTGTTTTTGAAGGCTTCTCCTGTCACTCTTTTGATTTCCTTGAGTCACTCGTTTTGGGGCTTCGCATTTCCTGTTTCTTGTTGGCCTTTGGGTCGTCCATTCGTTTTTTCCTCTTGTTTGCCTGGCTTGGTTGTACCAGAACCAAGTCGGGTTCTCTTTACTACTGATTAGGTCACAGATCGGGCATCGGGACAACATCGTGCACCACCGAAGAACGACAGAGACGACGAAGAATCACCAACATCGATTCGCTTACGGTTACCAACGAGTGTCTAGCGGCCGGCATCACCGAAGGACGACAGAGATAAACGCCCGAGTTCGACCCGATTTGTTTACGGTTCGTCGGAGTGTCTAGCGGTCGGTATCACCGAAGGACGACAGAGGTGAACGACCTGGGAAGGCGTTTGGGGTTGTTGCGGTTTTGTGTCTGTTGGGCAGCAGCACGAGACGGGCAACCACGTCTTCTTCGGGCAACGGTCATCGGCGGTTCGACGGCGATTCGGTTTGCGACAACACTCTGCGATACGACAGGGGCAATCGAGTGGGGGTTTGGGATCGTCGGCGGTTCGAGGGGTGTCTCGTGCCAGCATCTGCCAACGTGGTTCAGAGCGTTGGAGTCAAGTCAATTTCAGTTGCTGGTACGGGTGTCGGAGGATTTGGGGGGACGTGTTTCCTATGTCTTTCCTTTGTTCAGTTGTGGAGGACATGTTTGGCCAACCCAACAAGGGGGTGTGGGATAATGTAGGTCTCCTTGGTCATTCCCTTTGTTGCTTCTGACTATCTTGGTCCTACAAGGACTTGTATGGACAACTCCGGCGCGGGTTGAGCCTTTGTGTTTTCCTTTGTTGTTTTCGTGGTATCACTAGATACCTGGCTGGGAGGACATGTGGACCAGCTCTAGTGGGGTGTGGATATTTGTAGGTCTCCTTGGTCTTTCCTTTGTTCGGAACACCTGGTCCCATAGATGGACTTGTATGGACAACTCGGGCGAGGGTTGAGCCTTTGTGTACTGCGGGGGTTGGGCTGTGATACGTCAATCTCACACGTTCTTCTTCCACTTGGGTTTGCACTCCGTAGGCTTGATTGTAGTATTAATGTAGATTCTGCATAGTCGTAGAGGTGTGGTTCGTCTGTGCCAAGCTGCGCAGGAAATATATGTTAAGATAGCCGGATAGACAAAAGGGACGAGAAGTACTCAACCTATAGACTAGAGTGCGGGTGGTCTTTGTTTTCCTTTGTCAATTTCTCCATTCTTCAATAGTATTTTCCTAGGCAAGTAGCCTGATGGTACACTATACTAAGAATAACTTTTCTCAAGTTCTCCCGCTGTTCGAGAAAAAAGCCGTCAACAAAGGATCAAGGATCAAAGGAGAAGTTACCAGAGGGGGAGCGGGTAAACTATCCCTAGCTAGGCTAGATTCCCGGAAAGCTGAGTCAGCCCGTGGGTCGCGACTCCACATTGAGGGAAAACTCAGCGGGCGAGACCCAATGCATCTCCAGCAAAGCATCTGGCAGTGGAACAATAACTGAATTCATTCACTCATTCATCCACTGCAGCCACCACCACCAGCGGTTGCGTGGTAAACAAACACTGGCCTAAATACCCCCTCCCCCCCTCCCTCCCCCTTCCATCATGACAACTCGTCGTCTTCTATCCCAAGTCACATCAATCAAGATCTCTCCCTCTGTTGTTCCCACTGCACGATTCTGGAATTCTCCTCGTGTCGCAGCCAAAACCACCGTCTCTGTCAACTCTGTCTACACTGTCTCTCCGCGGGTCCAGAACTTCACCACTTCCCGCGCCATGGAATCCGTCGCTGGCACTCCTGATGATAGTGGGGTTACCTACGCCTCGGTGTCTGACAGACTAGACCCCTTGCTCTTCAAGGCTATCGAAAAGTTGGGCTTCGACAGTATGACTCCCGTGCAGCACCGCGTAATGACCCAGCTGCAGCCCAACGGCTGGCGCGGTGACTGCCTGGTCCAAGCTAAAACGGGTACCGGCAAGACGGTCGCCTTCCTGCTGCCGGCCCTGCACCAGCTGGTGCACGGTGACACCTCCATCCCCAAGGGCCAGGTCGCCGTCCTGATCATCACCCCCACGCGTGAATTGGCGCTGCAGATTGCCAAGACGTGCAATGGGCTCACCTCCCAGTTGCCTCGACGGCGTGAAATCCAATGCCACGTTGCCGTCGGCGGCACGGCCAGGGCCAGCGCCTTCAACGCGTTCATCGCCGGCGACCCCAAGGTCCTCGTCGCCACCCCGGGCCGTCTGCAGGACTACCTGAACGATGAGGAGTGCGAGCACAAGTTCGAGAACATCCAGACCGTCATCCTCGACGAGGCCGACACCATGCTCGAGGCCGGCTTCCTGCGGGATGTCCGGCAAATCCTGAGAAAGCTTCCCGCCAAGAGGGAGGCCGGGTGGCAGGGCATGTGCTTCAGCGCTACGGTGCCGCCCAAGGTCAAGGACGTGATCAACGTGGTACTGCGCGACGGATACCACCACATCTCGACGCTCGACCCGAACGAGTCCGCCACCCACGAGCGCGTGCCGCAGTATTCGGTGGTCGTGCCCGGCGTTGAACAGCTCTACACGGCCTTGCACGCGCTCCTGAAGGAGGAGATGAAGGGCAAGAATTCGAAGAAGGTGATCGTGTTCGGCGCCACCTCGAACTTGGTCGCGCTGATGAGCATGGCGTTCGAGAAGCTGCTGATGGGCCAGGCCCAGGTGTTTGAGATGCACTCGCGGCTGTCGCAGCCGGCGCGTTCGCGGACGACCAACCAGTTCCGGGAGGCCACCTCCGGGGTCATGTTTGCCAGCGACGTGGTCGGCCGCGGGCTGGATTTCCCCAACGTCGACCTGGTGGTGCAGGTCGGCCTGCCCGCCAACTCGGACCAGTACGTGCACCGCGTGGGCCGCACGGCACGTGCCGGCAACGACGGCCGCGCCGTCATGCTGCTGACCGAGCGCGAGAGCTTCTTCATCAAGGTCAACGCCGGCAAGTTCCCCATCCAGCCGCACCCCAACGCTGCGGACATTCTCGCCGCCGCCGCCGACCCCGCCCGCTCCAAGAATGTCGTCAACCAGGTCATGGCCGCCGAGGTCGACGAGATCACCAAGCACCGCGCCTACTCCTCCTACCTCGGCTGCATGGCCGGTGGCCGCCTGCTCAAGCAAATGCGCCTCGACAAGCCCGGCCTCGTCCAGCTGGCCAACGAGCTCGCGGTCAAGGGCTTCCAGTGCCCCGAGCCGCCCCAGCTTCAGAAGTCCGTCGCCGGCAAGATGGGTCTGACGGGCAACATCCCCGGCCTGAGACTTACCAATGTCGACCCCAAGCTGTCGTTGAAGGGCAAGAAGCCGGCTCAAAACGGCGCCAGGAAGAACCCCCCGCGTGACGTGCTGAGTCCCGAGCCCAGCGGCGTGGAGAAGCCTAAGCCCAAGCCTAAGGCCCCCTTCAAGCCCAAGCGCAATGGCTCGCGGGGCAAGACGCTCTAATCGTTCCTCTCTCCTCCCTTACCTTCTCACCTTCTGTTTGGCATTTCCGGGGTTTCTTTTCGCGTCTAGGGTTGAGTGTTTACCTACGAATGTGTACTTATAGATTCATAGATTTGCAATTGATGACTAGGTTCTGATTTTTTTGATTGAGGAGTTGTTCGTGAGCTCTAACCCATCGGGGAGCTAGATCTCCTAACTTTATGCCCTTGAGCCATTCAAATTCAGTAGGCACTTCACACAGCACAATCTATCATTCTATCGGAGAATCCCTTCATAACCCCTTTACCATGTATGAGGGTCAAGTTGGTTGGTCTGGCCATACTCACGTGACTAAACCCTTGATCGGATCAGAGATCTGGACCTTAAGTCAGGCTGCCACGGCTGGTCTGCTCTCGGAATGACGTCATCTCGATACACTTTGCTCAGGTACACCCACGCCCATCCCGAAGGATCCAGGATCCGAGCCCGCGATAAGCCTAGCTCGAACTCCGCGGTAATCTACCTTGGTTGAGCTGGCGGGCTACATCCATGAGTTCGAGATGCAGTCTCTGGTTATGTAGTTCCACCCCCCTTGAAGACATCCTTGCTCGAGATCGGGGGGTACTACCTCGCGCCTAGTTCTGGTACCGTAATCATGGTAAAGGTTTCTTGATTACTTTGTACAGGTGAACATGGGGAGTCGAATCACAACGCGGTGCAGGGGGTTGGCTTGGGAGAGGGGTACTAACTCGTTTCCTCCCACCGTATGACTGGTACAGACTCTACCAGGGGTGTCGATTAGGCATCTAGCCTCTGAGGAGATTCACGTGTCGGGATGTTTATCTGGACTAGTACGGCTCCGGTTGGAGGTTACGAGCTCACCGACGCGGACGAAGCGATGATGCTGATCTTGGATCTGCATCAGACCTTCCCATGGTAGCATGGTTGGCCTATGGTGGGGCAGGGCAGGTCCAAGCAGTGTCGCCTATAAACCACCGCCGCCGCGCGCCATCGGCTGAAGCGGAGAAGAGCCGGGTGGTGAAGCCGAGTGGGAGGGGCAACCCCTGTTCGTCGTTCTTTAAAAGAGACGGGATCGATGGGCCGGATGTCTTGTACTATACCGCACCGCGTTGCAAACTGATATCAGCCGAGGATTGCGTTTCCTGCTTATCGCCGGAGGGGAACACACGAGCAGCATGCCTTTGAAAGTCGTGGTCGTCGGGGCTGGGCTCGCGGGCCTCGGGGCCGCCATTGCGCTGACTCGTGCGGGTCACGAGGTCGAGGTGCGTTACCTATGACCCTATTCTTCGCCACTATTGTAACCTTCACTTTATACCTGGGAGCTTGGAATGCTGATTTGATTGGGTTACTATGTATCTAGGTCCTCGAACAATCGAGCTTCTTGAACGAGGTTGGCGCCGCCATTCACGTGCCGCCGAACGCTACCCGGATCCTGCGCGACTGGGGCTGTGACTTTGGCAGCCTGCGGGCCGTCCAGTGCAAGAGGTTGCAGGTGTGGGACTCGGATGCTAATCTAATTTATACTCCGGTGGTGCGTTGTCAACTGCTCACCGTGCTGTGGCTCTGGCTGGATTAATGAATTCGTCGTTGTGTAGGTGACCGAGGAGCAGCAGAGGACTCTTGGGATTTCCGATGACTGGGTTCTGACGCATCGCGTGGATCTCCATAATACCTTGCGTGCGACGGCGGCCCGGGAGGTCGATGGGCGGACACCGAATATTCGTCTTTGCTCGCGTGTGATTTCTGTTGTGGGTCTGGTTGATAACTTGCTGCTGGCTTTTGCTGATCCCGTGGAAGGATGCCGATGCTGGTGTCGTCAGCTTGGAAGGTGGTGAGACCGTCACTGGAGATTTGATCATTGGCGCCGACGGCATTCATGTAAGTTCCAGTCACCATCGCGGCTGTATCCAACCACTCACTGCTGCAGTCCCGATCCGTCAAGAGTGTCACCGGTGAAGATCCGCGCAAGGTTAGCACCGGCCAGAACTGCTTCCGGTTTCTGGTGCCAGTCTCGAAAATGCTGGCGGACCCCGAGACGGCGGCGCTGATGCAAAAGCTCGGGTTGGACGGCGTCCATGCCATCGCCTCTGAGGATAGAAGGCTGGTTCTCTATCCCTGCCGCCATGGGGACTTGCTCAACGTAGCGGGAATCTACCCCGCGGAACCCGGCTCTACCGTGAAGGACTCTTCCTGGCTGGAGGGTGGGAGCATGGAGACGTTGCTCGAGACATACCGGTCGTTCGGTCCGGAGCTGCAAGCTATGTGCCGCAAGGCCGAAGATCTCAAGCTGTGGAGCTTGGCCTCGCGGGTCCCGCCCACAACCTTCGTCAAGGGCAAACTGGCCCTCGCTGGCGACGCAGCGCATCCCACACTTCCGCGTCAGTCCTTACAGCCCTAATTGTCAATGACCGAGTGAGATCCTGGCTAACACAATCTCCAACCCACAGACCAAGGCCAAGGTGGTGCGCAGTCCTTCGAGGATGGCGCCGCGTTAGGCGCGGTCTTCACCTCCTGTACCACGCCCGAGCAGGTTCCGCAGCGACTCGAGCTCTACAACCGTGTCCGCTACAACCGGGCGATCACCGTGCAGTTCATGTCGAAGACGCACGCCGAGAAACGAGCCGAGATGTTGGACGAGCTGCGCCAGTTCGTGCCCGAGGCTGAGGTCCCGCAGAATATGTTCGCGTTTGCCTGGAGCTCCTACCCGGCTCGCGAGGCGGAACGGCTGCTGGTGGAGAGTGCGGCGGCGTGATCTGAGCATCTCCTAGCTAGCACTTTGCACTGTATTGTACATATCTCATTAGTGGCTGGTGATCTGTACCGGAGTCTTGGCTCGGTGGTTTTACCTACCTCTAGCAGACTTAGCAATCATCAAATATCCAATCCCGGTTTGCAGCACGCGTTGAAGTGGAGTGTGAGGCTGGACTGGGTGCACCGGCAGTGTGAGGGGGATGCTTCGGCTCCCCACAATTGTGGTACCCGACGGTCCGGCGGGGACAAATGTGAGTAAATTGGCCAAGACCAACAGGAATGAAATGACGCGCTGGTTGTGAGCAGCAAATTGGGTGTGAGTACTTAGACTAGTCAAGAACACCATTGAAAGGGAGGACGAATAGATGTGATGGGCGATGGAGGAGGAGGACAGACGCTGTGGTGTAGAAGTGACAAGCCGGAAGGAGTCGGCAGAATGGCCTCAACGGTGTCGATCTTCCATTAGTGCTTTCCTGCCGTCCCCAACTCGACTCATCTCCCCACTCAACCTCCCCCTTGCGCACAATCCCCCACCGATGATGACTTTTGTTTCAGGCTGGCGAACTGCTCTGTACCATCGCTGATCCCCCTTCAATATGCAGACCCCGCGTCTGCGATGCGACACGTGCAACGCGACCTTCCAGCGACGGGAGCACTATCAGCGCCACATCCGCACCCATACTAAGGAGCGTCCTTTTGCCTGCTCGGAATGCGGACAGACCTTTGGCCGAGTGTAGGTGATACCGGCCGCTACGGTGCAGCTGTACATTGGAGACCCGAGCTTTAACAGTTCAACAGTGACTCTTTGACCCGCCATCTCGGTACTATTCATCAACGCGGTAGTCGACCGGATTGCGACAGGGACGAAGGCCGGCGCCGGGTTGCCCGCGCGTGCAAACCTTGCAATCAATCCAAGCTCCGCTGTGATGGACGACTTCCCTGCCATCGTTGCCACAGCCATAACATCCAATGTCACTACGAAGCCCCTCAGAAGCGAAGATTGACAGGATCCGGTGGTCCGGTCGATGACCAATTGACTAAATGTCCCCGGGCTGCTGCTGCTGCCGCCGAAACACAAAGCGCGACGCTGTTATCGACTGCAAGCAGCGAAGACGTCACGCAGTCGGCTGTCGCAGACTTCCTTCCCCCATCGCCATCGACTCAAACAGCCTCTCATGGCTTGGACTCACTTGAAGCTGCTACGTCCGGCGCTCCCGGTGTTGCAGCCATCGGCGGCTGGACACAGTTACTCGAACCCCTCAATCCTAACTATGGCTCTAGAGTTTTTGATTTCGCGACCGAGGATTTTGACAGCCTTTTCGACTTGGACCGGGACTTGGGTCTGGATTTGGACCGGGACTTGAGTTTTGATCCGCAGGCCTATACCCCGCCCAACTTTCCGGATAACGATGAGGTAGCACGAACGGCGCCTACCGGAGTGGAACATGCTGGTCATGCTTCCCATCCCCCTGTCACAGAGACCTATCAAGTAGCTACGCCTCTGAGCCCGACTACCTTGGTCGAAATGTACCACCAGGGCTGTTCCCCTGGTCCCGATGCGGAGGCTATAGAGCTACGACAATATCACCCCGCGGTCGATGGCACGGATCCGCAATTTGGCTTCCCGGCTATGGACGACAGCTCTCTGGAGCAGATAGATCGCGAGAACCTAGCTCATGTTCCTGAGGTCTCGCCCACGGTGGTGGACAACGTCGCCCATGTGGCTAGAACCATGCACACCACTGCTTTTCATCGTCCGTTCCTGGAGCTCCGCTTCCCGCCTACAATTGTTCTCAATGCTTGGGTGCAGCTCTATTTCGAACACTTCCACCCCATTCTGCCCATACTCCACAAACCCACCTTCAATAACCAAAAGACTCACTGGCTGTTAATATTCGCAGTCAGCGCCGTTGGGGCTCAATTCTCTGATCTCCCCAAGGCCCATAGCTGTGCCAGGGCGATGCACGAGATGGTGCGCCGACAAACTAATTTCTTGGTATGTCTGACACCTTGACCCGACGTAGGAGAACGATAGCTGAGATCAGGTTCGTGCGGGATAAGTGTGAGCAGCAAAACAAATTCAGTCGTGAGCTTTGGATGACGCAGGTCATTCTGCTGAATCAACTGGCGCTCGCGTATTCCGGTGAGCGAAGGGACCTGGAGTTGGCGGAGCTGTATCAGGCCATCCCAGTCACTCTGGCCCGCCGCAAGAAATTGTTTGCCTACGCTACGTCCTTCCAGAAGATGGCGCGGCTGGAAATGTCTCTGCTCCAAAGGTGGCAGATATGGACTCTTGATGAGGAACGGCGTAGAGCGGGCTTTGCTGTCTGGGTAAGAACTTCGGCAGGGTAAACGATGCTGCTTGCTAACTCTGAGGCAGTTGCTCGACTCCGCGTTTCAGTCCGATTTCGATCTTACGACCCTCATGAACGAACGGGAATTGCAAAACACGCTCCCACAGCCTGAGGATCGGTGGGCGGCACGGAGTGCTTCATGTTGGGCTAGCTTCCCACCTCCAGGTGAGCGACAGTTGCCTTTATGTCTCTTGATTGAACTAAGTTTTGCTTAGCGAAAGCTCCATCGCGGCTGAATGAGACGGTGTCAGACCGAGACTGGGTTCTTTCCTGGAACCGTACAGGGACGATCGGAAAACAAGCGATCCTCCGGTTACTTTGCAACATTGTGCAGGCTAGTAGTACCTATTCACGGCAATCACCTGCAGTTGATCGAGAGGGCGAGGTGGTAGTGGAGGCATTGAGACGTCTTCTTTCATTGCTAGATGCTGACGAACAGAATTTGCCGCCAATGGAGCTCAAGGCATCTGTGGCCCATCGGACTATGATTCTCTCTGCCCTTATGATCAGCCAAGCTCCACACATCTCACTGATACCAACGGCCTTACGAGTCAAATGTCAGCGGTATCGACCCGACGAGCTTAACGAGCTCAGAGCGTTGTGGAGAGCCGCGCCTCAGCAAGGACGACTTTCGATATATTATGCCGCGCGCTTGTTTGAAACCGTGCGATCACATTGGTGCACACATTTCTCCACCCCTGTTCTCTTTCTCAAGTCCGCCCTTCTGTTGTGGACATACTCGGCCCTGTATGTTACAACCACGTATGGTACAGCGGATGAGCCGTCCATTGTCATTGCGACCTTAGACGACAGAAGTGCCTCGTTGAATGAGTGGCTAGAGCGTGGGTCGGGTCGCGTCAAGATAGCAGGAGTTGGTAGTATGATGACGGACGAGGGTCGAGCGAGACTTCTGGACGAATCTATCTCGGCGATGAGGTCGCTAAAGTGCTGGGGTGTAAGCAAGATGTACAGTCAGGTTCTGACACGGTTGCGAGGCAAGTGAGCAGGTCATCCCCTGGATACTTCGCTGTCCATTCGATTCTACCTACAACTTGAAACGGGTCGATCCCACAAATGATCCGCCCGGTATACAATTCAGCAATCGTCGCCGAGAATCCTTGCCCCGCCAGATTCGGATTAAATGATTCAACAGGATCGGCAAATTGATCGATCTGGACTTGATCTGCAAGTCTGTACGCATTTTCAGGAACACAATCCGGACGATCAACACGTCGGGTTTTCGGGCAGTGCTTGATGAGGTCGAAACCAAGACTACCTCTCCACATCTAGCCGAACGCCTCCTTCTCCACACGTGTGCTCGGCTCCCCACAAGTGAGCCTCCCAGTGCTCCTGCAGGCCTTTTGTTGAGTCAGCGGGACTTTGAGTCCGGATGAAGCATGCATTCTCTTATATTGGTAAGTCCGACTCGGCTTATTTGATTAGGGACTATCCCAACAACCCATAGAACCAAGGTTGATCGTGTGAAAATGTAGATAGGAGCGACCTTATAAGCAGCCGCCGGCTGAATATCGCCGCGAGATTCCTGCATTTCCCCCTCCGGGCCATTTCAATAGCCGTTCACTTCTATCGCAAATATCCCACACTCCCTTCGGTAAGCCTGGGCTGCTAAAACCACCGGCAAAATGCAACCGCCTAAGCCCTTTATCGGGGCGATCGGGGGTTCCTTTGTCCTACTTCAGCTGCTGTTTCTGGCCATGATGTGCTACCTATACGGAACGGCCTTTCATGATACATCCCGAATTCAACACATGAAGGTCCTCTACGTCGACTACGACCGAGGTCTGGTTGGCGAGTCCGTTCTTGCCGCCTACTCGCAGCTCCAAGACCCCGGATTCCCCAGCGTGCATCAACACTCCCCGAGCGAGTTTCCCTCCACAGGCGATGTTCGGCGAGCTGTCTGCCACGGTCACTACTGGGGCGCAATCTACGCCAACTCGAATGCCTCCACGCGACTTTCCAGGGCCCTCGCCTCTCACGAAGCAGCGGAGGCGTACGACAACACGGCCGCCCTGACGTACGTGTGGAACGGGGCACGATACGCTGCCTACGCGCAAACCATCTACGCCAGCCTCGAGGCCCTCGTCACAGCCACCAGCGGCGCGTACGGACAACTCAACGGCACAACAGCGATGGCCCACGTCAACGTCTCCGACCCATCCATCGCGCAGACCCTGCTCGCCCCGATCGCAGCTTCAGCGATCGATATCAAGCCCACCAACCAGGGACCGCGCTTCTTCTACAACACCGTCAGCATGGTGATGCCGATCCTGATGCAGTTCTTCTTCATCATGGCGGTGAACGGCATCTCCGCCGAGTTCGCCGCCTTCACCTCCACCTTGTCCGTGACCCGGCACACCCTGTTCCGGATGTGCCTCTCCCTGTGCTACACCTTTCTCGGCGCCCTCGCCATGGCCGGCTACATTTGGGCCTTCCGCGAGGACTGGAGCACGAGCGACGGCAACGCCTTCGGCCGCACCTGGATGGCCCTCTGGCTCGTCATGCACGTGAACTACCTGTGGCTGGACGCGACCACCGTCGTCGTGCCCCCCAAATTCATGTCCTTCGTCATGCTCACCTGGATCATCCTGAACGTCTCCAGCACCATCGGCCCCTTCGATCTGTCGCCCGGCTTCTATAGGTGGGGCAACGCCCTCCCTGCCTACGAGCTGTACCAGGTTCTGCTGTATATCTGGACGGACGGCTGCAATCGGCCCGCGCTGCATCAGTCGTTGCCGATTCTGTTCTCGTGGTGGGTCGTCGGGCTGGCCGTGTTTGTGGTCGGGATGCGGGCTAGGGTGCGCGCGTTGCGGGGGATGCCTGGAGGGCCGGAAGGACGTGAGGAGCGGGAAGGTGAGGGGGCGGTGAAGATGTAATCTCCCTTCTGTGCTATTCAGTTTGCCGCGAACAAGTGGCAGGTTTATAGATTTGCGACTGGATACAAGCTTTAGCTTTCAATCTGGTTGATGATTCTTGTATTCCATTTCACTCCAATACACGGTGCCATGCTCACGGACTCTCGGCTGTTATTGTCTCTCTTGCTCGCCAGGTGAAGGGTGAAGACCGCATCTCGTCTTTCCTGTTGCCATGTAGCATACCCACCTTGTGACGTCCCCATTCACACATAGGCGATTTCAGAAGATAGCGCCCATGTTTACATACTAGATAGCGTCATGCAAAGATAGCGAAGCAGACGCAAGCATGCCCCACTACATACATATATGAGTACTAGTTACTGTGAGCATGCCTAAGTGAATCGATCACGTGACTCGGCGATTCCCCAAGCGAGGTGTCCATACAGATCACCTAGGTACGTTAGCGAGTTCGCTCTACCAAGGAATTAGTCCATTCTGCCGGTGGCGTGCCTGAGCTTCGTCGGATCGCTACACATGCTAGAATTACTCTCATGATCGCCAGAGACACCCCCCTCCTTTCACCGAGAAGCCCTCATAAGGTACTAGTATATTGCGCGATTCGCCCGAAATGAATCAGATCGAATAAAGATGACACTCAACCAGGAAGATGGGATACCGAAACTAGGTAGGGCATAGAAGTATGCGTATTCTTCCAATCCCAATCTCCAGAAGAAAACTCGCAAGTACCAGAATCAGACTTATATCGACCCTAAAACACAGCAGGAAAACAAAGACGCAATCTACATGACATGACATGAGACAAGATCAAGCCCCATAGAACATACCAGGACGTTTGGATGAGCCTACCCCCGTCCCGGAATCAGGCGACTCCCGCCGTCTCTTCCGCTCCACTGGGTCCCTCCCACCAATCGTATTCCCATACATATGCGCATGCCCATACCCATTAGTATCGGCACCATTCACACTGGCCAAGAGCACCTTCGCATACGCCGCTGCCGTCGCAGCCGCGTAGTGCTGCCACCGGGTATTCCGGTGCGAGTCGCCATAGTCGCAGATTCCGCGGATCAGGACACATGGAAAGACATCGACGATGCCGGCGGCCTCCGTCTCGAAACAGAGGATGTTGTGCGCCTTGATGAGGAGGTCGCGGTGGTAGCCCGCGCGCGGGATCGCGGTGCTCGAGGCGATGAGGCCGTAGTGGATGCAGGGCTGGAGGCTGGGCCGTGCCGGGCGGCGGAGCTCGAACATCGACCAGCAGCGGTAGCAGTCGGGGTCGCTGGGGATGGCGTGGGAGTAACAGCTGAGGAAGAGGCGGTCGGGGTCGGGGTCTGGGTGTTGATATTGGATTTTGAGGAGCTCGATCTGGCGGATGTAGCGATCTAGGGAGGCGGTGGCACCGTCCGGGTTCGATTCGAGGGCGCTGATTGCTTGTGTAAGGTCGGTGGGCGGCGGGAGGGGGAATCCGTTGAGCGTGAGAGGTCCGCTGAGGGGGGTTTGGGTGATGTTGTACGGTATGACTCCCGAGTACGGGCTGCGGGGTCCGCTGACGATAACATCGCCTAGTCGGATGTCGTGCGCGTCGAAGGGCGTTCCTGCACCCATGCCAACTAGGAGACAGAAACGTATCCCGGGGAAGCTGTGCTTTATGTAGTGGACACTGTTTCGCGCGGATTCAGTGCTATCTGAGCCGTGCTGTAGACAGACGCCGACCACGTTGTGCTCTGCTATGCGGCCCAGAACGTAATGGTTGTGGTCCCCGGCTGGCATCGTGACCGGCTCGAAGACCTCGTCGAAAAGAACACGGACTGCCATCAGCTCATGTTGTAAGGCGCAAATGATTCCGACCGTGTAGTGAGCGAGTGTCAGCTTTCTATTGGACGGCTGATGGAGAATGTGTTCTGACGGGCCAGCTGTGGTATTTGCCATGTTGAAGAGCCCCTGCTCTATCGTCTGAGACGCCCCGCATGCCGATGAACGCCTTACACCCGTATAGATCGATGGAATTTGAATATCACCGGTGCTGTCTTTGAAGTAGTCTGGTCCCAATTCTTGAACGGCAGGCTTAGACCTAGTTGGATATCCGTAGTTGGCCCAATACCATGCATCGTCCGGGTTAAACCCAAAGACCATAGCCCCTACGTCCCAATTTGAGGCCACGGTCGTCTCTTGAGCTTCGTTCAACATCGCGACGGGTACAAGCATGTCAACATGCTCCGTGCTCTTGGATCTCTCCTCGAAGTTTTGCAATGGATGTGTGTTGCTGGCCTTTCTAGAGCACCAAAGCAGGTCATGGGTCAGTCTTGCGGGATAAGAGTCCGGGTCACCGTTTGCCTCCGCTATATTTCTGATATCTCGAGCGCTGGCCGTGAGATAGAACCTGCCAGTCGGGACTGTGTTCCATTCTGCAAATAGTTGTGGCCAATTCGCAGGTTGTATTATGTCACCGAAGCCCCGACCAAATAACGTGACTGCATAGATCGCACGAGTTAAGTCCACCCAGGATCGACCTTCAAGTGGTAGAGCTGCCTGTCGCAGGTAAATAGGATTATTCTCCGTGGTGAGGTCCCGGAAATCCCACCCGTCCAGCAAAGACCTTGGTTGTTTACCAGCCGTCCCGCGCCGACTTGTGGCTCTGAGCCGAATGTCTATTGCTTGTTCCAGCAAGGTAAAGTAGTCTTCAGCACGATCTTGAAACGTAATTGGATTCTCTCCGCTCCCGGACATGTTTATCTTGCGATTGATCGGATGAACTAGCAGTTGGAAAGCTGAGTCCCATTGATACGGCCGTTTAGCCTCGTGTAGCTGGTCCTCATGCAAATGGCGAGCGGCCTCAGATGCACTATCACGGCGGTCTTCATAAATCGATGCTCGGATAAGATGTAGCAGAGCGCTAGCTCCGTTAACCAGCCATCCTCTTTGATCCGCTTCATCCCACAGAACAACGTATTTTTGAAAGAGCCATTTCATCTTCTTAATGAATGACGATCGCGGTGCTCTAATGTCTCTTTGACCTAGGACAGGGCGTATGCCGTCTGCGAATATTGGGCTTGCAGAGAGCGTGGAGGTACTGAAAAGCTCTTGCTCCTCAATAGTGTATGGTAGTCCGGTATTTCCAATGCTGTAGCTCGCACCCTGTTGACCTAGAGCCAGAGCGTTAGTGTCAAACATCAAAAGACTCGTAGTCAGAGTCAGGAAGTTGATATACAGACCTGCAAATAGCTTTATCTCTGGACACCAACCTACTACATGCCGAGCTGCCTTCAGGGCATGGACTCCAACAGAGAGACCTGGCCACTCTTCGCTGCGTAAATGAGACATACGGCCCCGGTTCTCCTGAGTGAAATGCCATGAGACAATATTCTGGGAATAGCCAGTCACAATCGCTATGCTGGTAAACCCCTTCAAGAATGTCTTCTCGTCAAATAGGGATACTCGAGTCGTGTCAACCAGCTGAGCGAGCATTCCTAGCGGTAATTCGAGACCCTCGGACGCGTGCGACGGTCGCCGACGGATTGGGAAACCTTCCACTACCACTGGACTCGCCATCATTCTGTGCCAGCACTGCCCGTTAAGGGGCTCCATGCTCTTGATACTCTCCCTGAGTTCAACTGTGAGCTCAAATAGAAAAGCTGATTGTGGGCTGTGACCACCGTTATGCGGCCTGGTGGTATGCACGATAGGCTTGCTATGGACAACCATCCCTTCCAAAGGACAGGTCCGCAACGCGGAGGCCATCCATGCTACCTGCTCGCCAATCTCTGCAATGGCGGGCCCCGTTCCGCAGATTTCGAAGAGCATTTGGCGCGATGACCGTTCCTCTGTATATGTGCCTTGGGTACAAGTGACTCGAGTACCGTCTACAAGGGTAACTACCGTGGACAAAAATATCAGCTATCGAATCCGTCTCATAAGTGATGATCAACGTTACCAGGTTCCTTGACCCCCTTGGTTATAGTTGTCTTCACCAGGCTCAACACATCGCAGCCTGTACAAGGCCACGTCTGGTCCATATATTCCCGAATGGTCAGGGCCTGTGCTGAAGAAAAGCAGCCGGTTGTTGTAATAACTCTCTCAAATGCGTATTCTGCTGTCTCTTCATACCGCTGCTCCTCCATGAAAATGACCGGATCCCAATACGTCTTGAGTGCGACATTGAACCTCTGACTGGGAGCTCTTCTACTAATCCGTTGAGCCTTAGGCAGAGCCGCAAGAATTGTTTCGCGGATCCTGGCTCCATATCTTGGTCCTGGCAGTGCGATCATACGCTCACGTCGAATCCTCTTCAACAGCAGTGGATATGCAGGACTAGCCTGGATCAAGAGCAGATAGTTCTGCGTTTGTGAGCGATTGCTGCCAGCCTCAGAATTGTTATTCGGAGTGGTTGTGTCTTCACCGGACTTGGCGGTTTCACTCTGCTTCTTGCGGCTTTTTCGGCGATCCGCGAGTTCACGATGAGGGAGGCTCATGCTGTGTAACGCCTCGTCATTCTGCTGACCCTCAACCCACATTGTATCGTCCATAGACCTCGCTTTAGCCGAGGGTTGTTTCAGAAATTCACTGCCGCGTAAGAGGAGAGCTTGCTCGAAAATGGTTGCAATCTTTCTGAGGACACGGCACAAAAGGTCAGCTGCAAGTAGATTACTGCCTCTTCGCGAAGACTAACCGTCGATGTTGGTGAATGAATACCATGATATCACGCTGGGTTTGACCGGAGAATGCTTGGCCTAGACTCAGTGCAAAAGCTCTCAGCAGCTCAGGGAGAGCTTTGACGATATCCTGAATGACCTCGTGATTCAGATCGTAGATATCCACGGCCTTGGCGAGGTCTGCGCCTAGCTCGTGCATACATGCCTGTATTTCATCACCGTTATTAGAGCACCGGGAATATATGCTTTCCCTGTCGTTTTCGTCACTAGCACTGCCGCCCTCTAGGGACTCGGTTTTACCCAAAGCTATCTTGTTCCCTGTCGATATCACCACATTTTCTTCACGCTCTGGGTGCATATTGAAAGCATAACCAGAGTCTGTGTGACCTG